GTGGTCGGGGGCGGCGGCGGCGGCGGCGGCGCCAGGCGGGCGGTTCCGAGGGGCTCTGGCCCCGCGGGCCAGGACCGGGCTGACTTGCGCTTCTGCTTCAAACCCCTCCCACCCCCGCTTGCGCCCCTCGCGTCGCCCCCCTGCCGCTGCCTGCAGTGGTGACTGGCGTGGTGTCGTTCCTGGCGTTTGTGCCTGTGCTGTTCGCGATGACTGTGATGATGTACGAGTGAGTCGCACAAACGACCGAGCAGAACGCTCCGGGGGCCGTAGGGAGGGGCGGGATGGATTCAGGACTGCGGGCTGCGGAAGGTGTCCAGCAGGGGACGCTAGGGGAGTGTCTGCCCGCGCATGAACAGCCACCTACGCGGCGCCCACCATGCGCGCCGCCAGGCCGGAAGCCGCCCCGCTTGCCTCCATGCCTCGCGCGACCCCCGTCTCGACGCCGCCCCATCCCACGTTCCCGGCCTCCCCACCCCTCCCACCCCACACACAACACCACACACACAGCGCCATCAACGAGGCGCGCGGCGCGCACGCGCAGTACACCCTGCGGCTGATGCTTGTCACAACCCTGGTGGTGTGGAGCCTGTTCCCCTGCGTGTGGGGCCTGACCCACCTGGGCTTCCTGTCGCCGGCCGCTGAGCACACGCTGTGGGGGGTGGCGGACTACAGCGCAAAGGTGGTGTTCAGCAGCCACCTGTGGCAGAAGAACTTTGTCACGATCGAGCAGCGCAAGGTGTGTGGTAGTGTGTGCATGTCGTTCGCAAAACATGTGTCGAGTGTTGTGTGTAGCATTTGAAGAGCTGCGTGTGTGTTTGTCGGGCTGTGTGTGTGCAGTGCTGTGTGTGTGCATGGTGCTCTGTGTGTGTGTGTGTGTGTGTGTGTGTGTGTGTAGCGCTGTGTGTGTCGCGCTGTGTGTTTGTTCAGCTGTTTGTGTGGGAGGGGGCTGCTGGCGTTGGCGGGATCTGGGCGAGTGCAGCGGTGCAACATCGCACTGGGAGGGGAGGATCGACAGCGGGTGTGAAGGCCGCCGCACAGCGGGGGCCGGTGCGACATCGCGGCCGCTGCTCACTGCCATGCAGTTGCGGGCCGGCACGAACCGATCATTCTCCCAACCTCACTGTGTTTCTCCCTGGTCCGATGCAACTCAGGCTTCTTAAGGCCTTGGCATGCAGTGTACCCTCTCTCGTTTGCCCTCCACTTGTACGTCTGCCATCATGCGCGCACACCACCTCGCTCTCACACGACCGCGCGCGCGCACGCGCACGCACACTACCACACACAACCCACACAATGCGCGCACACACACACACCCACTGCCATCCCCTTACTAATCACCCTTGACGCACATCTACGCGCCGTGACCCGCCTCTTGTGCAGGCTGACGCGCAGCGCGCCCTGGACGAGGCCAACCGCCTGCTGATAGTTGAGCGCCTGAAGGAGCTGCTGACGGTGAAGGAGCGCCTCGTGCACTCCCTCACCCACGAGCTGCGCACACCCATCAACGGCATCGTCGGTGCGCAGGGCGCCTGTGTTTGTGCGCACATGTGTGTGCGTTTTGCGTGTGTGCGCGAGCAGGTGTGTGTGTGTGTGTGTGTGTGTGTGTGTGTGTGTGTGTGTGTGTGTGTGTGTGTGCGTGCGCGTGCGTGCGTGCATGTGTGGCCGTCACTGCATCAGGTGTGCCTGTGTGTGTGTGTGTGTGTGTGTGTGTGTGTGTGTGTGTGTGTGTGTGCGCGCGCGCGCATGTGTGCATGTGTGAGTGTGCGCTAACGTTCACAGTTGTGAATCACGCTCCTAGGAGCCTAGTTTCTGTGCACTGCCCTGGATCACCTTGGAGCACGCACATTGGGACTGCAGGACTGGCCGCCGATGCTTGAACCTGGGCTTTTCCCGCCCTGTCTGCTTCAGCATCCTCCGCCCTGACCCCAGCCCCGCCGTCTCAATCCATCTCATCTCAACCCCACCTCCCCGCGCGCCCTGCCTGCCCCCCCAGCCCTGACCAACGAGCTGCTGCACAACAGCTGCCAGTCCGCCGCCGGCCGCCAGAAGATGCTGGCCATGATTCGCTCCAGCGCGGGCTGCCTGCTCAACATCATTAACGCCACACTGGACAACGCGGCTGTGTCGACCGGGACGCTCAAGCTCGGGAACTACAAGGTGGGGCAAAGGACGTGTATGCGTGCGTCTGTGCGCGTGCATGTGTGTGTGTGTGTGTGTGTGTGTGTGTGTGTGTGTGTGTGTGTGTGTGTGCGCATGCAAGTTGGGGTCGGTGTGTGTTTGTGTGTTTGTATGCACGTGTATGTTTCAGCCTGTGGGGCCACTATTCAGAAAGGTGATTGATCCGTGCCTCTGAGGTGGGCACATGGCAACTTGTGCGTGGCGCTCATCATGGGCCGCCTACCTTCTCCTGCTCAATGCCGCGGTGCCCCCCGCCCGCCTTGAGGCGTTTCACCACGCACCCCTTCTGCGCGTGGGCACTCGTTCGCGCGCACAAACACACACACACCCACACACACCCATACACACAAACAAACTCTCCCTCTCTCTCTCACATACACACACCGACCCAGGTCAACCTGTGGCGCGTGACCGAGTGCGTGGTGCGCCTGACGCGCCCCCTGCTCAAGGACAACGTGCAGCTGCTCAACTGCGTCGATAGGGACCTGCCCCCCGTCCAGACGGACAGCACGCGGCTCATGCAGGTGCTGTTCAACCTCGTGGGCAACGCGTCGCGATTCACAAAGTCGGGGTGAGGGACCGCGCTCTGCCGTCCGGCGGCTCTGGGTTGTGGGTTTAGGCGGTCAGGGACTTTTGGGTTCCGGGGCGAGAAAGGGGGTGCAGTGACGCTGCAGTTCCGCAAGCGGGGGGCGCGCAGGCTCAGTGGCTGCCCCGCACTCGCGGCGCTGCGGGCCGCCGGGCCCACGGCCCCAGAGCCCCGGCGGCGCCCCGCTCATGTCTGCTGGCAGTGGCCGGCAACTACCCAGCGGCTTCCGACTCGGCACTGGGGCATACAAATGGACAAACGCAACTGCATGCTCTGCTCTTTCGCTAGCCTTTGATTATCTGCAACAGGCGGGTAGAATCAACACGCACACACACACACACACACACACACACACACATGGCACGCAGCATGCGCAACACGCTTTACACACACTCACACACCTATCACCTAAGATACTTACCCAAACCATGACGTCCCCCAGGTCTGTCAAGATATCCGCCACAGCGACCTGCGACAAGGCCCTCATCTCCGTCGCAGACACCGGCGTGGGCATCTCCCCGGAGCGCCTGCCGCACATATTCAAACCCTTCGACCAGGCGCGCTTACGCACGGCGGTCATGCAAGGGTCGCCGTGGGGCTCGCCCCCGCGGCTGGCAGGGGGCCGCGGGGGCGGCGGCGTCTTGGGGCCGCGCTTGCGGGGCGCCGCGGTGCCGTTCTGTGCGCGCCGTGCCCACCGGTAGGCCGGGGGCTCCATGGCGTGGGCTTGTCCTCGTGCCTTCAGCATGATCTCAGACAACACACACGTTGTACTCACAATCTGTTACACACACTCACACACCGACACATACACACACATACATGAGGACGCGCACCCACACACCCGCCCACATGCACTCTGCAGGGCTCCCAGGCCGGCGGCACGGGCCTGGGGCTGTACCTCGTGAAACAGTGCCTCGACGCCATGGGCTGCACCATCAGCGCCACCAGCACTGTCGGCCAGGTGCACGCCTGCGCATTGCGCATTCTAGACCAACGCTCGCATTCTAGACCAACGCGCTCGCATTCTAGACCAACGCGCTCGCATTTCGGCGAAGCGGCCACGAGCCGGAAGCTGCAGCCCCATGGCGGCGGCCGTTTGTGGCACTTTGTCGACTGTCGCAACCCGTCCCCTGGTTGGGCCCCAATGTGCATGCACTGGACACCCTCTTGCCTCTCCATTTCCTGCGCTGCCAACCCAAACCCAAAACCCAACCAAAACCCTGATCCCGGTTGACCCCGAGCAGTGGTCAACCCTGCATGTTGCTCAACCCTAAAAATCACGCCTACCCAATATGACCCCCCAACAGGGCACAACCTTCACCTTTGAGCTGCCCCTCGCTGACGAGGACGCCGAGTCCGAGGACAGCGGCGACGCGGACGCGCTCGGCGCCGCCATCGCCACCGCCAGCGCAAGCGGCCGCAGCAGCCTGGAGAGCAACGGCTGGGGCGACGCCGCGTCGCACGCGGCGGCGGCGGCCGCGCGCGGTGGCGGCGCGCTGCGGGGCAGCATCGACCTCGGGCGGCTGGCGGCGGCGCTGCGGCGGCGGCTGTCGCTGTCGCAGCAGGTGCGCGTCTTCCCACCGCAGGACGCCGGGGCCGCTCAAACGGCGTTTGAATCCAGCGAAGGCCGCCACAGCCGCGCAGTTGGGGCTGCCATCGGGTCGTTTGATGGGGGCCGCGGCAGCTCTGCACCCGGGGCATCTGATGGGGTCGGCGCGGCCCATCGGGCATTTCGAGGGGGCCCGTGGCGCTGGCATGCGCCTGGCCACCCAGGGGAATTCCTGCTGAATTGCAGCTGCCGGCACCCTCCCGTTAGCGCGGCGCACGCTCACGCCCAGCCTCTCATCAGAGCGCCTGCCACCACACAGCCCAGCTCGCCCTGATTTATCCAAAGCCCTTGATCTGAATTTGCGTGCGGCCTCCCGCCCTCCCTCCCAAACAACGACACACACACACACACACACACACACACACACACACACACACACACACACATACACACACACACAGCAATCGTCGCTGCGCCCCTCACTGGAGAGTGACATGGCGGCCCACAACCCTCTGCCAGAGGACCGCCATC